TGCATGGGGCATGGAAAGTGCCAGATTGGACAACTTCAACATACTGTCACAGTTGGACAAGAAGAAGACTCAAGAAACGTCCCCAACTAGATGAATGACTCCTGCCATCTCCCAAACAAAATACGCCACTCATCATCATCTCAGTGGTCGGTCATGCGAAACCGTCCGAGCTCTTAGGAGCTGTACCCACAACGTCTGCGGTGAGGTCCTTCTCCCAGAAATTCCGTTCATCCTCTTCAACGTCTTGGGTGACGTCCACGACCGGTTCCTGGGAACCAGGCGCCATGCGAAAGCTATGCTGAGACGCTTGCTGAGACGATGACCAGGTCAAACGAAAGCTGGTCTGTCTGCCCGAACATCACAGTTTGGGCCTCCAAATTGGATTCGTTCTACTTGCCCAGAGCCCCTTAAAGCCTTAACTGGACACTGGACGCCCCTTCACCTCTTTTGGGAGCTCTGAAGAGACACCCCAAACAGGCACCTCTGGCCTTTGGCCATTCAGCCCAAACGCCGGAGTCCGTGGAACAGGTTTCTCCACCCCGCGCCTTCTCGGGTGGCAGTGGACGGCAAATATCCACCAAGTCCACCTGAAAAACTGAGACGCACCGCCGCGTGCGGCGACCCTTCCGAGCGATGATTCGCCGCACGGGCAACCCAGGCAATCATACTCAAGTCATCTCAAGTCATACCTCATAGCATCTCTGATGCATTCCTGATGTTCCAAATTTGTTCCAATATCTCATACCAGCTGATGCAATATCAAAAAGAGAACATCCTGTCACATCTTCACCTTCGGCTTGTACCCATTTCCATCAGGCCACAGTGTAGCTGATGGTCTCCCCGGGGGGGATGTAAGGCGGCACGCCGTCCTCACCTCAGCTCTGAGCTGCGGTGCGGGATGTGACCATGCTCCGAGTGATGGGCCGCCAGGTCTGGCAACTTTGCCAGGCCACATGATAAACACTAGGTGGCAAGTCAAGACGACAAAACTACATCTGCAAGCTAGGATGAAAAAATTAACTTACTCTTAAATAACAAATAATTAATACTGATGTGATTCCCATAATTCCTAGACTTGTTTTTGCCTGTTCGCAGTGGGATGCAAGCAGGGCGGCCAGTATAGTCTGTGTGATGAAAGCTGGACAAACCATCAGTCAAATCACATGCCATGCACTATCTCTGCAGCTGTGCGTCCGTATGCATACTGCGGGGGGCAGGTCAACTCTGCCTTCTCCTTAGCTATGCACGTAAAGCGAATGAAACTCGCCAGCTTAAGCCTGTCGGCGTGTGAACCTCGAACGGAAGAGTGGGTGGCCAATACAGTCATTGGGTCAACGTTCAACGTCTCATCCAAACATTCTTCCGAACCCATTTCCTCCATCCCATTCCTGCATCATGACATCATGACGCTCAAAAAACACACGACCTGTGGCCTGTGGGTTTCGGAAGCCATGTGTGGCCAGGCGTCTTGGAGCCCCATTTTGCTGATCAAAATCTCCCAGGCATCAATGACCTGCGCCACTGCGCCCTTAATGAGACTAGTGATCCACGAGCTCTCGCAGCCTTCTTGCAACTTGATCTTGAACTGGAATCAAAGAGGCATGAATTCATACCCAGTCTCCTAGAGAAACCTGGGGTTTGATGAAGAAACAGGAACCCAAGATAAAGACTCTACCCTACAGGTCAAAGACCTCATTTGACTGGATCCGGTCATGCAAAGCCAGTACTCAATGAGGTCAAGGACCAGGTTAAACTTGGCCTTTGGACTTGTAGGGCTAGGTCTGATAAAAGGTTAAGTTATATTGGTTTCTTCACCACTTCTGACAGCCAGACCTGTTCTGCCAGGTGGGCAAAACAACCAGACCTTTGGAACCTGCTCCAGGTGAACGGAGCACTGCCGGCCGCTCCGGTGAACTGCCACGTGGTATGTGTTAGGTATTAGGAGCTCATCTCACTTCATCGTAAGCTATCACAGAATTCACGAAAGCCTCCAAAAAAAGGTCCGGAGCCTCAAACAACCTTCAGCCCTTTTACACCTTGTACACCCCCCAAAGGGGAGCCCGCCCTGTTCGGTGCGGCTTCTCTTCGCTGCGGCGGTCCAGTGCCCAGAACCTCGGACTCGCCCAGGATGAACTCGAAGGGCTTGCCCCGCGTTCTCGAGTTGTCGAAGCAGGTGCCATCCGACAGGCGGCCCACGTAGTGGATCCTCACGGAGAGCGGAGGGAAGAAGACGACCAGGGGCGGCGGGGCGGCCAAGGAAAGGGAAGACGATATGAAGTGTGAAGATGAAGCGAAAGCAAGCCAGGAGGTTTGAGGGTAGCGAGAAGGATAGAGCAAGATATGAAGTTCTGTCAAGTTTTGCTGAATTAGTCTGTTAATGTTGTGTGAATGGATCCTTGTAAACACATGGCCAAAACCTTGCAACTGCCACTGCCGGCCATTTGTGCCCTCTTCCTCTTCCTCTTCCCTGCGCTTGTGTCGACCACGCGACCGACCCGACCGACCACGGCCCGGTCTTCACGAGATCGCCCGCGCTGGGCATGTCATCCGGATAGGGCGACTCCCGGAGCACGCCTGGGGCGAGGGCGGAGGCGGGTCGCGGAAAATGAAGGCAACGATTCAATACACCCTTTTCTCACATTCATGGTCCGAAGGAAACGTTCTTCTCGGGGGACGATTTTAAGAAACAAAAAAACATGATTCAACATGTGATTCTGGGGGGTGTGCATTCCCTTGCCTTCCTACTAGTAACTAGTACTGACAGTTGCTTTCTTGCGTGTTCCTATTACGGAATATTTGGGGATCTTGACTGCTGGGAGAGGACATCATCCGGAAGAGACCTGGGAACCAGACCCTGCGACTGGATCCATCGTGCCGGATGAATGTTTGAGACTGCGTTTGGAACAGTCCACACACCAAAAAAAAGACACCAAGGAGCTGGTCAACCAAGCGATGACATCCTCACACTTCATCCAAGATCATCTAAGATCCAAAGTTTGATCACCAGACTGTAGTCATTGCCAGGGTGAAGTGGCACACGTGCATCATTTTGACTCTTCGTCCAAGCCACGCTTTTCCAGGCGCGAGGAGCTCCAGCTGCGCCGAGCGACCGCCAGGGACCTGGCGTCGGACGTGGCCGAGAATAGGAACAGGAAGACCCCTGACCTCATTCTTCTTGCCTCCTAAAACAAGTTGTTTAAAGTTCAAAGCCCAACAGTTCTGACAATTGCAACGCTTTGAATAGTTTGCTGTATGCACACAATGTTGTATCAATTCTCTATCATTCTATCATTCTCTGTCCATCTTCCATACATAGATGCTACATCGCTTCCCGAATGAAACTTGTCTTTCTCAAAGCAAGCCAGCAGGTGCTTCCTTGAATTGCGCAATGTATCTCCTTCTCTCATCCCCTCTCCCTTTGGCTGCTATTGGTAGTGAATTTAAAGGGGACTATGGCTACCTCCCAACTCCGAATATGGATACCTCCAGCACCCGGTCCCGCAAATCAGGCTGTGCCTGGCATATCCAAAGACACCACCAATCATCACGCCCATGCTCCTTGGCGTGCAGGAAATGAGTCTGTTTGTTGGAAAGTGTCTCAAACTATCATGCAAACCTGCATGTGACGTGCTTACCGCTTCCCACTTCTGGGGTCAAGAGGGGGTCTATATATCTGTTGTGAACACAACGAAGGAGGAACACACGTGGATTTACACCAGCTTGCCGGTGGCAAATGGTGTGTACCGTCCAAACAAGGTGCAACATCTGGACCTTACATCTGGCTGACATCGGCAGTAGCTTGTAATTGCTCAGGTTCTCATGGTTCATCCTCAAAATAGGGTGCCTGAAACACCGATGCTCTCTCCATCTTCCGAAAACCACATCCTGCTGAGTCTACCCGTCCAAGTCTCAACTCCACCCGCCGCGGCTTCCGCCCAGATCCAGCGGACCTCGCCAAAGCCACGGACCCCGCGGTCGCGGGCGGCGCGTGGGGCCGCGGCGCGCGCCACGGCGCGTGGATCGAATTGAGAGCCATGGCGTGGTCCGCCGTTAGGCGGAGCGTGGAAGTGGCGATGGACAGCCGGAGGTGAGGCTGGGTGAGGCTGGGTGTTTCAGTGGATCTTCACCTGCGAAAATGCCTGATGGGCTGATGGCTGAAGGTGAGCGTCGTGATGAGGTAAGTGTGCGAGGGCGCAGAAACAAGTTCCGTGAAGCTCTTGGAAAAGCTGTTATTCCCATGAGTGGCTTCGTCTTACACTGCTCTGCCTGCTGGTGTGGCATACCTTGCTTGTCAGGACAAATCTTAGCTGAAACTGATTTGTGTTCGGCGTTGGCTCGAGAATCGAGCATTATAGACTCTGAGCCAAAAGCTCTGAAGTAAAATGTTCTACTGCCCGTCCCTCCCAAAGGTTCCTCTTCTTGAACAAAGATGTCCTATCCACCTCTGCTTCCTTGCACGGAAGGTCTTGAGGCTTTAGACCATGACCATCTGCTTCCAACCACCCCAAGATATGGCTTTGGGCATAGCCAAGTAGGACTAGCGGATTTCTACATATTTCTATATAGTCCAAACCAACCTAAACCCCGGCATACGTCTTAACTCTGTGAATCCTGCACCTCCAAAAGCCGCAACAGACTTTTAAGCTTAGAACAAAGAACACCATGATTCACCCGATCCACACCGATCTCTGTGTGCAAAGGATGTTCAAACAGTTTGTTTTGCCACCGCCACGAGTCGGCGGACAGGCAGGACACTTTTTAACCCCACCCGAAATAGTCAAGACCGGGTGTGGACCGTTCAAACACGACCACCACTGTAGACTCTTGATTAATAAATACCCCTCTTCTGAAGTGCAAATTCAATTGGCGGGGTACTAGTACAGGGCTCTAAACGAACACCAAAAACAAGGCCACAAAAACCCAGGTGTAAGCCTTTTAGAACCCTGTAGGATGGTGGGGGTTATAAATCAAGAGTCTGCATTACCATCTGGGCCCAGCACTCAAAGCTGCCACCAGCGCCCACTGTGCCCGCGAAGTTGCAAGCCGCTCGCACGAGCTCGTGCAGCTCCGTGCAGCACGTGAAGCTGGAAGGCGGGCCGCCGGGTACCGGAGCGAGGGCACCTGCCGGAGTAACCAATGAAAGCTCAAACGGGTAACCACTGACCATCCACGGACCAAGATCAGGGTGACCAACTTAGTAACATAGGCTTGGTCAGGTGATTGGTCAACTGGAGATTGGTCAAGTCACAAATATTCCAACTTTCTCCAGTTGACCAATCACCTGACATAGCAGCTTGATGGACCAAAACACGGAAAGCCGCCACACATTTTCCACTCTCAGGACCTCAGGATGCAATCATCACATATCATCACCAACCATTAACCATCATTAACCTACCAGTCCAGCACGGTTGGGTGAAGCGGCCTAGGCCTAGCGGCCTAGGGTGTGGCGCAGGAAAGCAGGCAACAGCCGGGTCAAAGATCATTACCCATAGTCTCCATGGGACTGCCATATATGCCGATCAGTTGGGGTGGTATGCTTGTGGGTCTCTGACCCCCCCATGTACCGACCCGGTCAACTCCGCATGCTCCGTTCATCTTCGCCTCGGGTGTCCGGATCGCCGGTCGTTGGAAGGGCCGCGGCGACCACTTCATGAGGGCGACCAGGGCGCGTGTGGGGGGATGTCAGGTTGGGTAGGGGCTGGCTGTGTACTCTGTGTGCAGACTGCCAGTGGGCATGGCACCACTGTTTCTGTTGGCCACAGGCCGGATGGCCCGTGGTAGTTTTGCGAGCGCCGATGCATCAAAAGTGGATGAGCTACCAAGATGTGCACGTTGTTCCAGCGACACCATCACGGGCAGGGCCACGTTGCAGCGACTGCCGGGGTGGCATGTGAAGCTGGTTAGTTCCCTTGTTCCTAGTAAATAGTTTGTTTGTTGGGCATGCTTGCTTGTTGGATTGTGTGTCAGGCTTGCTTGGTTGTTTGTTCCTAGTAAACTAGTTTGGCATGCTTGCTTGTTGGATTGTTCATCACAATCATGCTCACTTGTTGGATTGTTTATCATGCTCGTCATTCTTGCTTGCTCTCTTGTTCATGTTCTGCCCAAGAGCCACGTCACTATTCGCAAACTGCCGGCCACTCATTGAAAAGGCCATACCAGGTCCCAGCCTTCTTCCACTTCCAGCATATTTACGCTATTAAGGCGGTGTTTTTCGCTATTAAGATCCGATTTGTTCCCCGCTATGTAAAACAAAGAAAAACCGTGTTTCGTGACTAAAGTCTCTGTTTCGCTATTAGAGGGTACCCTGGACATATGCATGTCAAAATGTCCAAAGTTCCCTTCGTGGCAAGGATGACACGGGTCGGTTTCATGAACGGAGGGAGGGGTCGATGCCATAGACCTCTTGCGCCAGTTTCACGGAATGATCCCCTCAGCCTCAACACAACCAGAGTCGTTTAGACCATCTATGGGACACACAACCAGAGTCGAGCAATTGGTGGCAGGGAGCGAGGTGGTTGTTTGATTTTTGAGCCAGCTCCAAGTCCGCTGTGCTGTTCTGCCTGCGGATTCCTTGCATGTTGTCATCCAAGCAAGTCCATTCAGGAGGGACAAATGGTAACAGCACAACTGATCATCATTCGATCAATGACCGGAACTAGAAGAAGAACTGGACAGGATTGACAGGATCCACATCCTTTCTTACGTTGGGTAGGCTCTATGCTTCCCTGTGCATTCCTGACGTTTTTGCCCCTGGCAATCTTATGTTCCCTTTACACTTTTGACTTGCTTGCAAGGTCCATTATCTTAGAAGTTGCATTCGTTTGTCAGCACATAGCAAACAGCATAAGGATGCATCACGCCTAAACCAACTGAACATAACAAAGAAACACCCCAACCTTGAACCAGAATATATAATTAGTAAAAACAAAAAAGCATGATCGATGCTCAGACCGGCCGTTTTCCGACATGTCTGCAACCGTCACCGATGTTGTTGCCAGCCATTTAGCCCGCTGGAAAAGGTGACAGATGGCCACAAGAGAGTGGGCCGGATCCCGCCATGCTACGCATGAATTGTCACAACCGCCACATGCGAAGACTTTGGCATGTGAGTTGTCTCCAAAAAGTTATTCCTTCTCCGGGTCAACGTCACCCAACGGCAAGGCCTCGGACATCGCTAAGGTTCTGGGTTGCAGTCACATACACCCGATGAGTGGGTTGGTTGGGGCTGCCACAAGTAGGGATGGATACTATCCCCTAGCCATACACTTCATGTATGTAGTATATGCCTACATGGACCCCCTAGACCACCCCAACTGGGGCTATGTTTGGTATGCGATTTTGTGGAGCCCACATTGGAATCCCTCCCTCCTCGTTCCCAATTACATTGGTGTCCCTAGGTGCCCGAAGTCAATCTGATATATATATGAGATGCTCAGAAACTCGTGAAGATATGTGCGCAACCTACTAGTCTTCAGCACGAACGAAGGGGTCAGCGACGGTCGCGTATCCCTCTAAGAAACAGATCAAAGAGCTTTGGCCACCTACAGTGCAGCACCAGTTCAGCACCAGCTTCACAGTATCAGTGCTGATCCGCAATGGGTTCTTCGACTTCAGGCAGCCCCCATCGAAAAAACAAGAGTTCCACCACTCCGCTCCCCGCTCCGCTCCTCTCCCCGTAGCTCGCCGAGCGGCGCTCCGCGACGCGAAGCTGGGCGTCAGGGTGTCGACCTCCACACCCGCCCCCCAAACGCGCCGACGTGTGCGGAGGACGGGCTCCCAATGGCACCGAGGGGCACCCACGAATCGGCTCTCCAAGATGGAGACGGTGGAGTTCATGACAGCGCAGAATTTGGGGTGAGGCTGTTGGGTGGTTCCTTCAATGTGCTTTCCGTCTTTTCCAAGTGCCTCCAGGACAAATGCTGCGAACCGTAAATCATCGGTGATAGTCATTCATCCTACAATAGAATAGGGGAGGATCCAAAACGACCAGAAGAAATGGAAAGGTACAAAGCAGCCATCAAATCGCCTGGTGCCACCTGAGAAATGTTGATTGACATGGGGACAAACACTCTTCCAGAAACCACTCCAAGCACCTCTTGAAGTCTTGGCAACTCGTCGCCGTAATAGTAACACCGACCCTACTGCAGTAGAAGACATATGATGACAAAATGATGGGAATCCTTCTGAATGAAATTGCACGGATGTTATAAAGTAGCCAGAGGGTCCCTTCACGTTGTCCATCATCAATTGACCTTCCCTCGATGCCCTCAACGACCAAACGACCAAGAAATGATCCCGCTTGTTCATCACATCCTCAACCAGGGCATCCTGTTTGCTTCATCTTTGATCGGTAACAAATACTAGCAAGAAAAACGTCAACCCGCGTCAACCTGTGGCCGCATGACAGAACGATGCAAAAAGTATCAAAAAAAAAAAGATTCAAAAAGTAGATGAACAATCTGGGGTCAAAAGAAACAAAGAAGCTTTGATTGCTGCTCGCCACCTCTGAAGAAAGGCCACCCTCCCCTTTCGCTCCGCTGCCAAGCCGAGCTGCCGTCGACCGTAACTCGGCGTGGAGACCGTGGTGACTCGACCGTGAGAAGCTCGACCGCAAAGAGGCCGTGGCGGCCGTGGCCTTCGTTGAACACAGCAGGCCAACAGCAGGCCAGGACCAGGTGGATGTGCAAAGACCCCAGAAAATCGATGCAGCTTTCAACGATGTTCACCGGCGGCGGGAAAGACCTCTCCTTGAGAAAAACACAGCGGCTCGTCAAAATGGGGGAGTTCCTTTCAGATTCGGCAGCAGCTAGATTCAGCTAGATGGTGCACTCTCGGTGATTGGTTTTTTCATTGGTTGGATTGTTGGACAACGGAGCGTTGTAAGGCTTGCGCAAGCAGTTGCTTCGGACAACGTCTCTTGGGCCTGAGAATCCTTGCGTTTCATGCAAAATCACCCTGGAAGGCTTATACCAGTACTATAGAGGTTGCCCTCAAAAAAAGATAAGGAGATCCACACCAGTGGCCTTGGACCTCTTCTATCACACTCGCGCAAACATCTCCCAAAATCTGTGAGAGTTCTCGCTGGCCAAATCAAAAAAAAGGCTTTGTGCCTCTTCTGGGGTTCTTCCCTTGCTCCGACTAGGCGTTCCTCTCGGGTTCCAACAGCCTCATCTGCGCGAACAGCCACTGGCTCTTCCACAGCTACTGGCTCTGCCACAGCCACAGGCTCTGCCACAGACCTGGCCTCGTTGGGCATGCGAACGCTTTGGTCTGGAGGAGCGTCGTTTGGTCTGAGCCATGCCTTGCCTGTGGGACGTCCCTTGTCAGCCGAGGGGTGTCCATGGGCGCCCACGGCTGGATGAGGGGCGCAATGGACCGGGAACTGTTCACCTGGAGGGCGGCAGCCGATGCAGAGAAAGCATCCACGGGTTATCCAGGAAGGGACTCATACCCCGCGAATTCGCGAACGACCTTTTTGACAAACCACCCACTTCAAGTGAATTTTTGGGGAGATTGCCCAAAACAAAGTCTGACTGAGTCTGGGATAAATCTGCCACAAATTATGAGTCGTACAGTATATGTACGCGACACCGGATGGAAAATGTTGTATGTTTTCCATCAAAAGTAAAGATCCACATAGTCCCTGACCAGGTCTGTTCTCTCAAAGGCTGTAGTATTATGACATACAGTTGGATCCCTACGGGTATGAAAAACATCCAAAAGAACGTTCCAAAAAGGGGCCTCTTCTCTTCTTAGACTCAAAGAGATGGGCTTTGCAAAGTTTATTCACATCCACCGCCTATTAGAACCCAGTTGATTCAAGGCAGCTCCAGCCTCTCCTTCCCGCTTGGCCATGACGCCGCGCCAAGCAGTCACCTGGATCGGACGAATGGGCCGTGGCTCAAAACCAACGAAACGACCACGTGGTAGAAGCACTAATGACACGCCCTCATTTTCAGAAACAACAGACTTTTCTCAGCCACCTGCCGTGTGACTCCAAGATTCAGATTTCTACAGATATACAGTATATACAGTATACACTCTTGAAACGCTCGCTAGTTGCATCCAGCTTCTAGCGGAAATACGCATTGGATGGACATTCTCCGGTGCAATGCAGGATCAAAGGTTGCTGAGCCCAACCGTGTGGCAAATCTGTTCAAAAGCATTGCCGGCCTCTCGAAAATGGCTGGCAGCCTGAGGATCCTTTGGGTTTTTGTCTGGGTGCCATTTCAAGGCCGCTTGCCGGTATGCTTTCTTGATGAGCTCAGGATTCATTGTGCCGTTTGGCAAGCCCAAGATTTTGTAGTCTTGGTGAAGCGGACAAAGGAGCTCCGCAAGCATCCTCTTTTCTTTTTCTTTCCAGAAATTCTGCCGCGAGTCTGCGAACGTTCTGTCAGGTTACGGCTTCCAGTTGAACTCACGCCGAAAGCCATCATTGCTCCCTGAAGGTTCCGCACCCTGGAAGGCTCGGCTGGGTCCTTAATCACCACCCCACTGGGTGCTCGAGCTTCAACTTTCCATTGGGCCAAATCCAAGTGACTGTGCACTCAATCCACATGGAAAAAGAGCGGCTGTAGTATTCCACCTGCTCTCCCACTTGGAAGTCTGACATCCTGTCACTGCTGTCCGCCCATGACTCCTCACCCTTGCTTGCTGGTGCTTTCCACACTTTCCCCTCGCGAGTTGCAGCCGTCGCTTGAGGTTTAGTAGCACTGATGGGGAGCTCTGGTTCTGGTGTTGACGGTGGTTCATCTAGTTCATGCTTGGTCTCCGTTGCCCGCACCCTGATGTGGTCCAGCTCTGAGAGAACAGATTGTGCTGAATGAGTTGGCCTCGGACCAACCCTGTCATCACAGTCCACGCCTCCGTTGTCTGCACTGTAGACCGTTGGTTCGCCGCTGCTTGTCCCACCTCATTAGGACCCCTAGGGCGAGCCTCTTCCACATTGTGGACAGTACGCTTGAACAATGTCCCAGCATTCCCAGCCATACCTGTGATTTTCACAAAGCACTTGTGATTCAACTTCAAAGGATCCCCTCCAGTTCCCCTAGAAAACTCCCTTGGGTGTAGCCATCCTTCTTTTCTTCCTTCTGAAGTCTCGAAGGAGACCACAGCACCAAACTCCATGAACCGCAAAACTTTGCCCTTGTAGAGCCAGTTGATGCTACCTCACTTGCTTTTGGCACGCCCATCAACCAACTGAAGCACTCCATATTGGGCTACTGCGGGAGTGCACAGGCACGATTCCTCACCAACATATGCAAATTGAAAATTCCTATTAGATCTAGTTACACTAAATTGACTAAATTTATCTTGTACGCGTGCTGATCCTCATGCTTGATTGCTGCTGCCACGGCTTCGGTGAACTGACTATGCGTGAGAAATGATACTCTTCACCAACCTAAACTCATGCAATTAACTAACCCCGGGTCTGGAAATGAAGGATGAGGGTGCCAGCCTTGTCCAAACGGTAACTTCATCAACAAGGAGCCATGAATAGTGGCTGATCCTTTGAACCAATCCGTATATAGAGTCAAGGCTGATGACGATGATGGATAGCAAAGGCCTTCACCAAAACAGGATAAAACAAGTGATAATTGATGATCTGGCACTGACTATATAACTAAGTCGTTCGAATCCAAGGTATGGATCAGGATCTTCTTGGCTCATCTTGAGACTTTGTCAATGAAAACACCTCGATTTGGACCATGATGGACCCTTTCCTACTTGTATAGACTCTCCTAGACATTCAGGTGATGGACCCAAGCCACCGCATTTCGCGTCGGCTGGAGCGTCCCGGAGCCTCGGCTTGAGCGTCCCGCAGCTCGCTCGAGGCCAGCGACAGCTGAAGCTGCTGCTGCGCTGCCTCTCGCAGCAGGTCCTGGAAGAGGGAAAACCGATGAAAACCACTTGGAGGCCACTGAGGCCATCGCTCTCTTAGGTTGGAGGCTATCGCTAGATATCGCGATAGTAGGAACTTCGAGGCCATCGCTCTTAGGTCGGAGGCTCACACAAACACCTCCTGCAGCCAAGGCTTCTGCAGCTGAGTTCTGTGGTTTTTCGCAAAGCCGTTGAGGCAAGGCGGACACTGGGGGAGTATGGAAGGATGGCGGTGCTTTCTCTTGGTTTCTCATGCCTCGCTGCTTTCGTCCGGCCCCGTCCGGCCCCCGTACGGCCACGCGGGGTCCGGACTCCCGAGCGCTCGGCTCGGTCCTCCTTTCGGAGCTTCTCGTCCAGCTCGGAGCGCTTCCAAGACGTCACCTGCGAAGGGGGGCGGTTGGCAAGAATCGAGCCGTGAAGAATCGGTTGTGCCAAGCAGTGCAAGGCGCAAGGATTCCAAACAGTAGAGATATAGGGCCTAAGCTGGAATCCTTGTTGGGTTTCTTGTGAGACTTCACTGATCAACCCGATATCTTCTTTGTGCTTATGATTTCTGTTGATTAATTTGTGGTTGCTTCTTTCTTCTTCAAACCTGCAGCGCTCCAATTAGGGTCCGACAGGCCTCAGGGCTAACGAAGTGAACTCAGAGAAGCACACTGGATCCTTCTTGGACCATCCAACCGCAAAGGAGCTATAGGGGCACCTGGGATCCCAAAACGTATCAACACTCTCTTCGACTCTCTTCTCGCTCCCAGCCTTTTCCAAAACACTGCGGGAATGGTTCTGGTGGGCTCGCCAAGCTCCGAACATGTCATGTCATCGCAATAGGTGTGCAAAGGACGTGAGCAGTCATAGTTCATTAGGATCCTTATTGGTACATATGTACACATCAACAATTGTCCACATTGGGGTGGTTTTGGGGGTCAATGTAGGCATATATGGCATAATTACATGGAGTGTCCATGGAGTGTCTGGGATCGAATTATATGACATGTCCAAGTTGCCTCGACCGTAATCCTTCTGACCGACTCTCCCCCAAGATCAACTCCTACTCCTTTGTCTCATGTAGAAACCACCGCTTCCACCACTGCCGCCCGAGCTTTCGAAAAAGAAACAACGCACTCGTTGCACCCGACTCAACCACCTCGCCTCGGCTTGGGCGAAGCTGAGCTCGGTGGACGTGAAGGAGAGCTGCGCCTGCTTCTCCGCCGCCTCCAGCAGGATGGCCTCGATTCCGCGAAGGAAGCGTGCTCCGCGCGGTGAGGAAATCGCGAGTGTCGGGCGGTTGGTTGGTCTTGCAACGTTGGGGGTGGAGTTGGTTCCGCGAGGAGTGGAGAAGTCGGACAGTATGTGGAGGTGGTGAGAATGAGTGGATCACAAGTCGATTCTCACCTCGGTGGTATGTAGGTGTCATCGAATTGGTGTCGCAAATGGATCGAACGTCCGATGATCGCACTGTCCTTGTGATCTTAGAATTTCATACAACTTCGTTGTGGTCCTTCAGGTTTTACCTGCGCGCACGGTGATGTCCACAAACTGTACTTGTACATGGGTATGCTACACCAGTGCTTGTTCCTGCAATAGAACCTTACGATTCTATCTGATAGGATGTCCCGGTTCTTACAACAGTTTGAGAGTAGCTACCAGTGGCTGAACCGACACCAAAATGCGTGTTTCCTCTTCCCAATTTCCTTGTTTTGCTCATCGAGAATATGTTCCCTGAGATTTGCATGGGGAACCTCGCCTGGTCAAGAAGTGATTCCAACAACACCGTTAGTAACAACACCTACTGCACTAAGAAAAAATCCTGTCAAGCCGCATGGTTGTCCAGCTGCAATGCCTCTGCATGCTTTTGATCCTCCGCCAAGAGCTGACGCAAGGCTTTCGCCTGGGACACAAATGCAGAATCAGGGAATGGCCGGGGACGGTAAAAGGTTGCATGCAGCCTTGGGCCTTGCCAAATTGGCCTCTGTCTTTTGCTTTGCAAGATTCAACTGAGATTTTGCAGACCAAAGAAACAAGTTTAAGGCTGATCGAAAACCAAGTTCCACTGACTCCACTAGAGACATAATGTGAAAAGATTCAGGTGGTCTGACCCATTTGTACTGTGATCACTGGCTCCACTTCTGAACACATCTCAACACCATCTCAACACCATCTCAACACCCATCCCTTCCTCTTATCTCTTCATCATCTCTTCATCTCCTCCCTTACGGATCCCTTCATCTCGCCTGATCTAGGGCGGGCTGCAGTTCGCACCGCCGCCAGGACTCCTTCTCATAGCTGGCCGCATGCTCTTGCAAGCGCCGCTCCTGGCGCTTGCACAGCGGCACAGTTGGCTCGGAGGGTGGAGGCGCCGGTCTTCGGCAGCGGTGCTTTTCATGGTCCTTTGTGTAGCTGTAGAAGATTTGTCCCACCTGCTTCAGCATGAACGTCACATACAAATGGCTTGCAGGATGAATCAACATCCCTTCCTTTTGGATTTGTTGGCGGGTTTGAAGGCGTCTTTCATCTGTTCACCGGCTTCTTTTCGGGGTTTTTGCTCAGGCACTCCCCACGTCACCTGCGTTAGGCTACGCTACGGACCGCAGTCTCCACGTCTCCACCACCCTCCACGGAGGTTGCTTCGCCGCGGTGTTCCACCGAACGTTGGTTTTTCACGTCGCCTGCTGGAAACGCGAGCTGTGCTCTTCCAACTGCTCAAGTTGAGCCTGAGCATCTCATCGCCGGGTTTTTGGGGCGCTGAGAAGCGCCACGGCACAAAATGGACGGCAGGGAAGACCTTCTGGAAGTAAGAGTGATCTTAAACATAAAAGAACAGTGCGTGGTGGGGATGCAATTGTTATAATTCCTTTGGAAGGAAGGAGTGAATCATTTACGGGACAATGACATCGTGACATCATGATAAATCGGCTCGTTGTGAAGTGGTTGAATGGCACCCACACTGAGGGTTTTACATGGTTTTACCATGTCAACTTGCCAAGTTAAACCATTTCCCCATACATATCAAGTTCACCCACAACGGCAGGACCGGAGATGGTCCGCAAACCTGAAAAACAACCTCTTGTGGTCACGTTGACAAACAGTCACCCATCCGAGTGGGTGTCGAGCTGTGATACCAAAGGAATTCCAAAGAGAATCCGGTCCCTGGTATCACAGCCCCCTGCTGGAGACCTCCAAACTCCCAATCCCTTCTCAGACCTGGTATCACCAAGTGATACCAAATCCCCAACCCCTTCCTCCCAGTGAGACCTTCCTTAGTCCCAAAACCCCCCAAATCCCTTCCAAACCTGGAGCTCCCGACATCCAGCGACGCGCGCAAGTTCCGTTGCTCGATGTCCGCCTCCTGGCCGGGTGGGGTGGCCCCAGGGTCCCGCGCACGGCGCGCGCGCACTGCGCGCACCTCACAGGTGAGTCGGAACTCCTCCCTGGACGCGTCCAACTCTTCTCCTTAGGAGGTATGCTCCACACAAGATGGAAGTGTTGCAGTTATATAGATTATATGATAGATCAAGTTCCCAGATTCCCAAATGTCTAACATTTTCTATATTAGGCTTCAGAGTCCCTAACTTTCATCTGGGACTCACTCTTCATTGGACAAAACGGAAAGCTGATGAAAGCTGATCTCTTCAACGATCAAAAAAACAAGCTCGAGGATGCCTTGGCCTAGGGCTTCCTGGACTCTACTGACTAGAAAGTTTGGTATCAGAATAGGGAGATCCCTACGATGTTATATTTTACCAGTGTATTGAGGAGGGCATGGGGTGCTTTCAAACGATGCGGAAGCCGGCAGTCAGGCTTGGGCCAGAAACACCCGATGCTAGGCCATGGGTGTGTTTTTTGAAATGGGAAGACCTCCCCAAGACCCCCTGGAAGAAGGGAAATAGACCCATGACTTGGCCAGGAGGTCTCCCTATCAATACCGTCATATGACATATGAGCCTCCATGACATTCCCCAGTCGTTGTGATGCGCAAGTCCGTGTGTAGTGAGTTCTGACCTCGTCTTCCACCGCTCCCAACAATTGAAGGAAGCCCGTCTTCGTCTTCGTCGAATCGAAAAACCGAATTTCTGAAGATGTCCGAAGCTTGGAAGCTACCAAATCCCCTAAGTCCGACGCAGGCATGGTCTGTTTCGGGGTTCCTGGAACTATTTGTTTTTCCAACACATGCCGGGTCAGAGACCTGATTGATCCTGTTACCAGGAGTCTTTTGGAAAGGTCACGGTCGTACCGGGATGCTGGTGGACCCCTTACCGCTCGCGCGGGGCTCCGAGAGTGGGAACCTGCGGGACCGTCGGGCAGCTCCACATCTCTCCACATGAGCTGAGCCTCTGAGAGTTTGTTCCAAAGCCTTTGCGCTCTGAATCTCCTCCTCTAGAAGACCGGTGCGTTCCCGCTCCGTCTGGTAGTCCTCAGTGTCGTCACGCGGAGTCGAATATTTGCTGCATATATCACGGTGCTCATAGACTTGGATTATGGCATAATATGATGGCCATTAAGTTCCAGTGCGATCACCAACATACCAAAAGAAACATGTTTCTCCACACCCTCCGGGAAGTCCAAAGAAGGATTGGTACTTTCCCTCCTCACGGTGTTTTTTCTTTAATGAGGTTTTCTCTTCCCAGGAGATGTTCCTTTCCCAAGGTGGTGGTTTGCTGGGTTCCCCTTCCCGTGTTTCGTGGTTTTCGTTCCCAGAAAGGATGGGGGTCCCCGGAATAACGTTTGGCACTCCGGCTGAAGCTTGGACCAATATATGTTGAGCGCGGACCGGGGAAAAATCGAAATGTTTTTGTGTTGCTAAGTTCGTCACAATCTGTTTCACGGCGCGGGCCGTGCAGTTACTCATGGTTTGAAGAAATACAAGCAGATTACACACTTGAGCATGACAATGAGCGGAACAAAGGTGTTGCGCATGGAATCACATTGCGACAACTTCTACACGATGCCTTCGTTTGCGTTCGTGGCCTTTGCCAGGAAGGAATGCTACAGCAGCAGGCTGGAAAAAATTGCGGGTACGCCATTGAAGTACAAACATAGCACGTGAATGTGCGTGAGGCGCAGGACAATCAAAACTTAGCCACCGGCGGAAAGTGCGACGTATGGAAAAATGCATGCAAACACAAGCGAAACAACAAAAACGAAGGAAAAGCACACCAAAACAAGAGTAGAATTTCGTGTGGTTCCTCCCTGCAAGCAACGTGCGACATAAATCTTGACACAAACTTTGACATGACATAAACTGCGGCAAGCTGGAGAAGAAGGAAGATGGAAACCAGAACAGCCAGAGGAACGAGAACAACGGGAACAACAAGAACAACAAATACAAACAAAGAAACCAAAAAACAAACAAGCAAGCAAACAAACAAACAAAAACAAAACTAACAAAAAAACAAAACAAACAAACAAAAGAAAAGAAAAAAGAACAAAACAAAACAAAACAAAACAAAACAAACAAACAAACAAACAAACCACCAAGCAGGCAGGCAGGCAGGCAGGCAGGCAGGTAAGCAAGCAACACCAACAAAAACAGAAAGAACAACAGCAAACAAACAAACAAACAAACAAGCAAACAAATAAACAACAACGGGAACCATGACGACAGTGACAAGCATAACCATCATTACCGCCATCAGAAGCACTACGTAGTTACATTATATGATATTAATCAAATGCGTATTACACGGCGGGTATATATACATAAACCTCAGGCTAGATACGACAAGCGCGCCAGCAAGCAAGAAAGGAAGGAAGCAAGCAGGCACAAAGTCAAACAGAGGAGGAAACAGGCATGAAGTCAAGCAAACGGGCGCGCAAGTGAGCAAAAATGAAGCCGATTACCTTTGACCACCTGGCAGCTAGCTAGGTAGGCACCCATCGAAAGAAGAGAGCCACAGGAAGCAAAGAAGGAACGAACAAGTCAAGCGGAAGGCACAGAGCACGCGACAAAGACGAGATGCTCTAAAGGCTCTAAATGAAAGATCGAACTAAGCACGAGGCCTTCAGTTCACCTGCCATTGCGCTGACTCATGCTGAGATTGACCCGGGCGTCCCGATTAGGCAGGCTCAAGCTGTCAACAAGCAAGGATGCTTCGCACCATGCAGAGAGAACATTCCACAAGTGACAAGTGCAAGAAGAATGGCGCCCGTTGTCCAAAACGTAAAGCTAAAAGTGACCGAAACAAGCTTTGAAAAATGCACGTGCAAGTATGGCCTGGACAGGTGACAGAGAAGCCGCGCCTGGAAAGCTCGTAAAGCGCTTGTAAAGCTGTAGCTTGGAGCTTGTGGGAGCTGCTGAGAACGTCACTTTTGGATGAGGCGACTTCCCAAATCATCCGGACCCCCAAAGGTAGCATTTTTGACATTCAAGGGGGGAACAGTTGTTCACTCACAATATCTCACAATCATAGCAACGATGAACTGCAACTCATGAGAGCGACGTGCGCCCGGAGCGCGCCCGGAGCGCGGAGCGCGACAAAGCAAAAGTGTATTATGTGCTGATCAGGCCACCACTGCACAAAGTGGCTGGTATAGAGGTTGGCTCCAAGAACGTGTTCAATGCCGCCTTTCCCACCAATCTCCGCCAGTCTCACGTATTTCAGTTCTGCGGTGGCATGTTGGCAACGTGACCTGAGTGCGCGCTGCAGAGAGGGTCTTACGTAGGATTTCAAGCACTCTACGAGGTCGGGTTCGCCTGCAGCACGAAGTCGGGCAAGGTAAGCTGTCCAGATATGCGCCAGCAGTGGCAATGTAGGGGGCAATCGAATCATGCGAGCGGCAGCAAGAGCCCAGTTCAAGTTTTTCTTCACTCACTTGTAGCCTTTGGTTTCAAGTTGCTGACATTTGTGGGCCATGCCATTGCGGTATGTTGCTTCTGGCTCCAATGACAGAAGTTGTCACAGCCCCGAGACAACGGGAAGCAAGCAACGCGCGCCGCCTCGAGTTCTTTCTTGAAATCCTCGTGAAAGTGGAACGGCAGCTCCGACAAAGGTTTTCGCTTGGGAAACGCGCTGTCTTGCCACAATCTGTCGACTTGGCGAAAGAACCGTTGGTAGTTCGAGTCGGTTTCCCAGTGACAGCTGTGAAACAGTGAAGCACCATGTGTCTCCCTCATACCTGCTCAGTCGGTGAAGCATACCACGATAAGAAAAAAGACAGAATTAGTTCCTCTGGGAGGAACAAGGTCGCAAAATCATCTGGCAAGCTCTGTGGAGTGACCGACAGTGGCATGTTTGGATGGAGCCGTCTTCACAGAACTCTTCTGGCGTTTGAGCCAGCTGGAGAGTTGACTCGCATCGGCAAAGTAGCTTGGGAGAAGCCAGCGGTGCAGAAAGCTAGCTTCAGTCCAGGCAATGAGTGCCCTGCTTGCGCCACAAGCAGCTCCTCCGGGTTGAACAGCTTGCGCGCAGCATGCTCTTGCTGGTGAGAGTGCTCTCCAAGGGCTTGCACGATCAGTGGGCCAGGTGGATGTACAGCATGTGTCAGAAAATTAGTACGCACGCCACTTCATGGTGCAGTTGATGGTGTCCCTGCATTCAAACATCGTAGAAGTCGGAGCTGTTCTTGCGGACACGGCGTTTGATTTCGGTTCTGTGCTGCTTCCACTCAGCACCAATCTCCTTCCCTAGCGCGCAGAACTTACGCATGTACTCCGCACGTGTCCAGCACCAAGTTGCCTAGACATGCAAGATTGCACCGTTCTGAAGCCGCCAAAGAACATGCTGCCTCATCCTGTTCGGTGATATCCTCCCACCGCGTCATCCGGCCAGCTACAGCATAGAGACGGGTAGTTACTGTGAACAATATCGCTGTCACTGCGCTGTCAAAAGCTTTAGGTGTTTGTTTATCTTTTTACAATGCTATTCTTGTCCATGCTTGTCCATACTTTTGTGATCCTTTGTGTCTCATGTTTCTGTAGAGCCACAGTTGTCTTATACGCAGGGCCGATGTTCGGCAAAAAAGAACAAGGTCAGACTTGCAAGAAAACACAAAACCAAGCCAAACGGAGCAAGATGGGGAGGGAAAAGCTTTCTAGGAAGGCAAACAACCTGACGGGACAGACTTCTGGGAAAGCAAAAACCTGACGGGAGAGGAAAATCCAGGACAGGAAGGGGAAATACTAAACTGGGAGAAAAAAGACAGCAGGGAAGGGAAAGAACCAAAACAGGAAGGGAAAATAGAAAAACAAAAAAAGTACACTCTGCTGAGCAAACCTGAAACCAAACTCTTGAGGAGGTGCCTTCCACCAGTTTCAAGGCCTGCTTTTGGAATATCAAGTAAGTTTCTCACCCCCTCTCCGCCCCCCACGTCAGTTTTGTTCGGATGTAGAACGATTAGAAAGAAAAGTCCATCCGAGTGCATCCAGCATCCTCGCAGAACGGACTTTCTGACTAATGTAGACTTTGTTTGTACAGGAAAGTCGTCTTCAGAGTGTGTTCAGTCCCCTCATCTGTGTCACGATCAAACCACGACCAGAACGCCATGAGTTCCGTCGACGACCATCGCCCTGACCATCCAAGTCACCAAGGCTGCTTGTGAGGCCTCCGCACGGTGCGCAGGCACGAGCGAGTTCAAGCCATGTCCCGATGTCTCCGACATGCATTGCCAATTGTTCATGGCTGGCTGAACTTGTACCTCGTAACCTAGTATATATTATGTATATTACTCAGATCACTGGTTTCAACTGCAATTGCTGGGTGATGTAGAAAACCATGCGCAAACCAATAGTGCTGTGGAGGGAACCCCAAAATCACTACCTATATAGTCCTTCTCTCTTCTTTTGACACTCTCACCATACCTTCATCACTCCCCTCAATCCAAGTGTTCTTTCCCCCGTTTCTTCCCCTTTCTTTGACTCACCACGGGTCGGGCCTGGATTCGAGTCTGCTCCATCAACGCTTGAGCCTGATCCCGTGCCAATTCCACCCGTTGCTCGCACGCATGATGCAGCGTCTCCGCTCTGTCCTGCTTTTCTTCGGGCGGATTCGACGGAAGAGCACATCGGGGAGGAAGAAAGGAACATCTTGCACTGCCTACGGTGTGCAGCACAGAAGAAACCACCCCCCAGAAATATCATTGACCTTACAATCAGCCTGGCCTTGTGAATTGTGACACGTCCCAACCTGATTACCTTGTTCGTGCACCTCGGAATCAAACCCACATGTCCTCTTCCACCCGCAGCGCTGAGTCTTTGTCCTGCCAGCAAAGAGTCGGTGTGTTTCTTCCAGAAAGGAATTGATGCAGATTCCAAGTGGAAGCTCAAACCGTTTCATGCCTTTCCCGGGGAAGGTGGATTGGTACAAACAGGCATAAACAACACGCAGGTCAGATCTGGAGGTTCTTGGTTTTATCCCAAGCCATGAAGTGACCCAAGAGCGGCATACAGCTGCTTTAATTAAAAATATATATAAATCTACAAAACTCCTGTCAGTGCTGGGAATGCAAGTCTTAACGGGCTTAACCGGACCTGAGGGTTGCTTGTCCGTTTACCATCAACACAGCACCCATCATCTCACCCACTGACTCACCCCCAAAAAAACCTCTGAGAAATGGACAAGCCAAAGCATTGAAAAACGGTGACCGACCAGACCAACCAAAGCCAACCAACCAAATCAAACCCAACCAACCATGACAACCCCCCCAGCCCAAGCGCACCCTCAGATCTGCATAGGCTTGCTTCAGCTCGGCATGCACCACGTGCTCTGGCAGCTCCAGGCTCCGTTGGGCCTGGATCAGCTCCTCCTGGAGCAGCTGCTGGAAAAATCGGTGTTCCAGGAGTCTTAAGACGGGGGGCTTAACGAACCGAGCAAGTCGGTGCGCCCATAACATCCACTCACTGGATGGGACTAAACACCACCCCTTTGTCCTTTGTGACTCTACTGAGTAGGACAGTAGGACAGGACCCATCCTTGCATGGTGGTGCGCACTCCAAAATCGGGACTTTGTGTATGTGCTTTTTCAGCATGCTTCACTTTGTGCATCAGCTTTCACATGCCGCACATGGCACCCCCTGCCTGCAACTGAGCTCGATCTTCCAGCTCTTCCTCGAGACCTGGTGCAAGACGGAACAGATGCACACGTGTTCAATGACAAATTGTGTTTTGAGATGTTTTGAGGGTTTCAGGAACCTAGATGGAAGATGGAGAAGGTTCTTTCGGCAAGTGCATGGTAGTTGCTCTAGCTTCATCTTAACTACCCAAGGCAGTTCGCTCTCTGCTCGCAGCTTCGAAAGATGAGCACTTCATAGCCTTCTTTTACCAGGTGGGACCTGACATGTTAGTTGGAAGATGTTGGAAGGAGTGCGTACACTTAGGCAAAGTAATTATGCGTTCTTGTGATGTGTTCGGCTTTTCTTCAGCCGGCCACGTCAACACGCGAGCGTGTTGGACCGCCCCGTTGGATGAGGAGCACGAGAGGAGCACGAGTGAACGACCGAGCTGTCCGAGCTTGTCCGGGTGTTTCGTTGTTCACCCGGACTCCGGAGAAGCCTCCGGATGGACGATGGAAGACCTCATGTAGACTCGAAGACTTCATAAACCATCCCATTTTGGATGTGAAGAAAACCTCTTCATGTGGGAACGCGCAACGAATCCGTGAGGTCTGCAACGAATCCGTGGGGTTTCATCAAGAGTCTACATGACCGTTTGTCCATCAACAGTACTTCCAGGACTGTCAAAGCATCTGTAAGAGACCCCTTCAGCATGAGAAATTGGCTGATTCCCCGAACGATGATTTTTTATAACCAGGACTCAGGATTATTTTAAAACCTTCCCCAAAGCAAAAAAGAACCGGGGGCGCCGGTGTCGTTGGTGTTGACGAGTTCGTCCTCAACAGCTTTCACCCGGTGCCGCCATCGCATGCGCCACCCGCGTCTGTCCACCCGGCGCTGGTGGACGCACCTCGGATGCGCTGCTCCAGGTGGCTCTGCTGCTGAAAGCTGTGCTGCAGGTCTTGCTCCAGACCGCGGACCTCAAGAAGCGAGCCCACTCCCAAGTCAGTGAAGTGAGTTTGGCCCCAGTATCTCAAAAAAATAATCACATCATGACAAGCATGATCAAATAAACCCAATAGTATTGCTTCAAGTATCTGGGAGTCAAAACTCAACAACAACGCCGACAGGGCAAACTGAGTGTGTCCGCTGTTTGCCTATGGCGTCTATCTCCCAATATGGTCGACAGCTGTTTTGGTTATGCAGTGCAACACAGGACCGAGAAATACAAGATAATGGCGAACAACATAGAATCTGCACGACACTTAGGATTATTGTATAGCTTTGCTTGTCTTGTTCCAACAACTGTCTATCCTCACCGCTGAAACTGACTTCTATGCCATTGAAGCAAATCCCTTACAAGTCGAGGTCATCTACCAACCCTTACCTTAAACCTTGCTCCACGATCCGTCCTCCACTTCGACAATGGCGTCGCCAAGTCACAATGGCGTCCTCATCCGTCTGGGCCTCTCCATCCTGTGAGAACGAATGGATCACACCATGGGAGGAGTGGGACCGGAGTGGGAGGAGTCGCTTCCAATGCCAGGGAGTTCGAGAGCCCAGTCTGGCCCAGTGGACGTCTGTGTGACAACCAACGATGCCCATCGTGTGGTTCTTGCCTCTGTGCTCACTGATCTCGCGGGTTTTTGGAAGATTCTTACAGCATCCCACTGGCCCAAACAGGCGCAAAAGTAACATTCAGCAGGTGGAGAAAGGACGCAAGCTGATCAAACAGCAACATGGTCGGATCAAATACGTTCTGCATGGTGGTTTTGCGCAGTATGCTTACCTTCAGGGAAACCAATAGAAATGGACACCTCCACTTCTCATGTGCCAGGTTCAATTCTTTGAAAAGAAAGACTGGTCGAAGTGTTGAAAGGAACTCCGACAGAAGAAGAAGGTACAACAGCAAAACTAAATCATGCCCCATTACCATCCCAAATGATCCTAATAATCCTCTAAAATTCACCTCTTGCCCATCTCAAAAGCGCCTGCAGCATGGGCCGCCATGGGATGGAGCCCCACATCACCGAGGATGCCCGGTCGGCCCCCCACAGTCGGCCCGGCGCGAGCGGCGCAGAAGCGCCGCTGGCTCCGGCGAAGAGGCAGCAGCGCGAAGGGGTGGGCCGCAGTGGAAGGATGGCGTCCTGGTGGGGGACGCCATACCGCGGGGGTATGGAAATGCCACTCAAAGAGCCAATCCTTTTGGGGTATGTGGAAAACAACCTACAACCTAAAACCCTCTAAAACCCTAACCTCCTGTCTCCCAGGGTCTGGAAGAGCTTTTTGGGGGGGCCGGGGGATCCCATCTCGGGAGGCTTCGCACTCCCGTCCTGTCTGCCTTTCGTTCGACCCCTTTAAAAAAGGGAACGACCTGATGTTGTCGTATAAAATCGTTAGTTACAATGGATGGTTGTTAGGGATTCAGCCTATTTAATTAGAGAGGGGCCTGCTGTGGCCTGTTGTTAAAAGGAAAGGTAAAGGAAATAATCACTTTGAAAAGTGATAATCTATTGTTTGAAGGAACATAAAAGGAAATAGCAATGTTTAAAAGGAATTAGCAGGAAATAATCATTTTAAACATGAATTTATATAAAGGAAATGAACATGTTAAAAGGACACAAACTGAAAATAATAGTGCTTTAAAAGGAAAATAAAGGCATCAACTAGTTTTTTAAATGACAATGAACATAGTGATTCATGTTTTAAAGGAAAATAAAAGGACATAATCAGCGTTTAAGGTAAATAAAGTAGATAAATCAGCTTTTAAGGTAAATAGAAGTGCATAATCATGCTTTAGAAGTACATAATCATGTTTAAGTCAGTGGTCAGCAGTGGATTTGGTCAATGGTGCTCCAATATATGATATATATATATATGTGTGTCCCAATTGTCTAAATTTTCTGCCGCCCACAACAGGCCTTTCTGTCTAATTAATCATGGTGATTGGAATCCTAGGGACATCAATGCAACTTGCGACACCCATGGGTGCATGATATGTTGTGAGGGGACCCGGGAAGGATTCTGCTGTGCTCCAGCATTTTGGTCTGCAGAACATGTCCCAATTTATTACTATATAAATGGGTCTGCTGAACCAAGTCTGACGCTCTCAATCAAGGGGAAGTATTTGCAAGGTCATTGACGAGACAAACCCACATCTGCCTTGGTCTTTAGCTTCCTTCACCAACTTGCATCAATCCACACCATCCCTTCCAGGCAAACCGTACCGGCACGCCTTCAAGTTCCGAAGCTCTTCCTGGTGTTGCAGTTCCTCAGATAGACTGATGACGTTGGAGAACCATCGCAAAGCACACCAACAGACCCAATTCCTTCAGCCTTGCTGAAAGAAGAGAAGCCTCAAAGGCTTCAACACCGCGCCAACTGCGGGAGTGGTTCTGGCAGTTCTTTAAAAGCAGAATTGCTTTTCTGCTTGAAACAAAAGGCAATGGAACCCTTACTTGTCTGAGTCTAAATTCTGAACACATGGGCGACCAAAGCATCTTGATTACAGCTGCTGACTTGTACACCTGACTCTTGAAAGTCTCCATGATGCCGAAGTATCATTGAATCTTCCTAGTATGAATCAAGATAAATGTATTATAGTGAATCCCAAAATAGATAGAAACGGTGTCCAATACATTATGAACAATGTATATATCTACTGTTCTATCAATCTATTTGGGGGTCTATAAAACTGATTTATATCGGTTCAACTTTTCTCTGTCTCCCACACAATCGACTCATCTCAAGTTTCCGAGGACTTCAACTTTGTCTCCAAAGATTGGGTCTTCAGTCGCTCCTGCAGCGTGATCCACAGATTGAGTCTACCGCCCCTTGCTCATCTACCAAACGGTCAGATGGAACCTGAAAACTGGAAAATATCACAGTATCAAGTTCATCTTCCAGGAGCCAATAACAAAGTTCATTCCAATCCTCCAGCGAGTTTAAACAAAGGAATTGTGTGACAAGTATGAATCCACCTGTCCAGTCCGACTACTTTCAAGTCAGAATCGGCGGTCTTGCCTCACTGAAAAATACGACATCTTGTCCTTCTCATCCCTTCGCAACCCCCCACCACCACTCTGTTGTAGTCTTCCCCGCACGCGTCAAGAGCACGTGGGTTGCGCCCATGCGGCCGCGGCCTGCGCGAAGTGCTGCAGGCACAAGGCGTAGCTGCTGTGCTGCTCCGCAAAAGCGTCGACACCTTCCTCCAGCCGCGCCTTTGGGGTGCTTGGAATTGACCCACTGCCGAGGAACACAGATCAGTGAAGATCCCCCCAAAAAAATTCCCCCACCTTTCTACAAACGCTCCCGATCCTGATGCCGCAAAACTGTTTTTTTCGCCCCGGAAGCTCCACGTGTGGCGAAACTGTCTGCAGCCTGAAGCTCTTCCATCTGGTTCTCCTCCATGACCAGCTGCCGTTGCCGGAACTCCGCCAGGTGTTCCCAGCGCTCGGCCACCTGCCGGTCCTCCCAGCGTGGCGGCTTCCGCGATGGGAAGGCCGACCGGCGACACTGTCCTCAGCCTCTTGGCCCGAAGACCGATGAGCATTCCAAACAAAGAGAACTGACACCAGGAAGAAAAAAAGGCGATACCAAATCCTGGCAAAACATGGCAAAACCATGCCAAACCCTGAAACCCTCAGTCCACGATCCTGCTGAGAGCTCTTGTTGTTCTTGCACTGCCAAACCCGCTCAACCACAGTGGTGTTCTACATTCCACTTCCATGATTCGTTCAAGAAGCGTAGCCCGTAGCCCCATCCTTCGCCAGAAGTTCTCTGAAAAATATCTAAAGCTTAGATCAGCCAGCAAAACACTCCAACGATCAAGATCAAGGAAGGATTGATGCCTTCCACGGGCGTCCGCATTGGTCCCCGAACTCTCACAACGATCCGCGTTCCATCGCGTTCCATCCCCACCGAGTGGACCAGCGTTCCATTGACCAATGCTAGAGTCCCTATAATAGAACACATCGAGGATTGAAACTACTCCAAATCCCAGTGGTTTGTATGTTGAAACCTCCAAAATCTGAAGATCCACTCCAATTTGGGCCTTTGGAAAAATCAAAATGTCTATAGACATTCCAAATGTTGGTGAGTCTCTTGTTTTTTGGGCTTTAATACATATGTTGGTGAGTCTCGTTTTCGTGTCTTGGACCCACATGGACCCAAAGAGCTACCGGTTCCTCACACTGACATTCCCTACAAGTCCCAATGAGTTTGAACAAAAGACGTCAAAAATCAATCAACCTTTAAAATGTACAATGCAGTAACATCAGCCGGCCTGAGATTTGTTGCTGTTTCCTTTTCAACTTGTCTCAGCCATCCCCGGAAAAGCCGCTAGCGGCCTCCAGCATTTGCTTCGCTTGGGCACGGAGCTGACTCTCCTGTCAGGAAGAGTGAGGTGGCAAACTATTGGTTTACAATTTCCCCCTTGGCAGGCTGCATGCTGAGAGAACGTTGGCTTTACGATGCTTTCTTGAAAGACTTGGAGAGCATATACTTTTTAATGGTGGTCTTGAATTCCAAAGCGAAGTCTTTGCAAGGTGGCTGCTGTACCATCACTGCTTGTATCCAGGCTGCCTGACAGCTGAAGATGGAAACTGCAAGATCCCACAGGTGGCGCACCCATACTCACATATCGAAATCCACTGAAAGAATCCTTGCCATGCCATAGCCCCGGTCACTCACGATGTCTCGGACCAACCAATCAATGGCGCGTTCCAACCAATCCAACTGTCCGCCCGGACAGTGAGTCGGACGTCTTTGACCTGAGACATGCAGTTTTTTTCCAGGCAAATGAAGCTCCGACTCGCCCTTCTTCAGATGTCCGCTTCGCAGCGACGATCCGGGATCAGGATCCCTGAAGGGGACCCAAATCAGATCTGCTCGCCCTGGTGACCTGCGTGACCTGCATGGTGTACCCGGTACCCTCACGTCGGAAAGCCAGTTTTTCCAGGTCGGACGGTCGGACCCTCGGTCTGAAAAAAGGGAGAGCATCTAGAATCTTCGGTGTTACATTGGGTATTTGTATGTTTTTTAATGTGTTTTTGCTCCACTTCCCTGTGATGTTCTTGTCAAGGAGTCTTACTTCTCGGGGGCCGCCCTTCTTCTTCTGCGGTGACGGGTTCCGACAGGTTCCTTCTCTTCGGCCCTGGGGCCGTCGGAAGCGGACAACCCGTCCTTCTCTTCCAAGACACGCTGGTGCTCCTGGACCGCGCGGTGACGATGTCCTTTTCGCGACATCCCTTGGGCTGAAGTGGCTGGTCTCTGACCTCGAAAATACGCAGAAACCACAAGTCACCAGTCACGAGGGGTACTTCTGTGCATGACGGAACTCTTGCACATCCCTGAAGCCCCATAAATATCCTTTCTTTCCAGGCTCTGCCAGGTGTTTGAGACAAAGAAAGAAAGAAAGCATACCAGTCACCAATGGAAGCCCGCCCCTACACTACCTAGGGATCTCCATTAAACACCCCTTTCAAGGTCCAGGTATCATAACATATCTATAATGACTCTAATTGGCCCTATGAGCCGAAGTTCCAAGGTCGCCCAGGTCCCACTTTTCCCTGTCTTCTTCTTGGGGTCTTTTTGGCCGTCTTCGCCGCGCGACCACGCGGGGGGCGCCTGCAGTTGCGTCCGTTGATCTTCCAGCAGCCTTCGAACGCCCGGACCCGGCAGGGCGGCCCCGGGTCGGTCGGTCGATGATGTGTGGTGAACAGCAAAGGGAATGGAAGATGAAGGGGGGGTTCACCATCTCACCGGTGAGGACGAGGGCTTGTCATACCGAGTGACAAAGAGACGCCAGATGATGCCAGTATGGTGTTCCGCACTTGCCAATTGCACTGGAACCCCGCGAACGAACCGACAGCCCATTCAGGCGGCGACAAGCGGCTGCTGCTGATCCCGCAAGAGCTGATGTTGCTCGTCATCGTGCAGCTGCTGCTGGCGCTTCTTTATTCCAGAGATGGCATGATTCCTTACCATCCCATCCGAGAAGGACGAGTCCACAGAGTCAGAGTGTCGTCAGCACCGAACACATGGGAGGGGTCGTCAAAAGAAGCGTGTCGATGTCATCCCTACCATCTTCTTGAGGAAGGTCCTCTGGAAAAAGTAAGTTATATACATGTTTGGCTGCAAACAACCTCCAAAATGGGTAGGGATTCTATTTTCCTCACTTCACATGTATGGTGAGTCACGCCGTCCGACCCCCTGCCACTGCAGGGCTCGGGCGACCTGTCGTCAAACCTGTGCCGACCTGGACTCCAGGTCGGTACACCTGGAGTCAAGGTCGGTCCACGGTCACACCCACATTGACACAACCAAAGGACAAGGTCCCTTGGTTTCATGAGATGTTCAGAGTGGTCCCTGTCTTTGTTCACAACTCAGGCATTATCAAATTAATCCGCTGGAGCAGAACTCATTGGTCATCAAGGGTATTCGTTGCGGCTTTCGCATCATAACCACAAGGCCCATGGTCTGTCACCAGGGAAATGGAAAACGTTAGCACGTTTCCCTCTTGAGACTCTTGAAGGTCCTTAATGGTCCTGTCTTGCATGGTCCCGTGTCAGTCCCACCCTCCCAGGTCAAGCTTACTCCCACTTCCAAGGGCCTCCGCACCATCTCCAAGAACACACGTCTCCCGTCTCCCTCCGTCGTCCGTCCGTCGTCTCCCGTCGTCCTCTGCTTCTCGGAGAGCGCGCGGCGCACGGCACGGCAGTGCTCCGCAGCATCCAGGGCCAAGCGGTCCTGCTCGGCGCGGATGCGGTCAACCGGACACGGTGGCCGGGCGCCAAGGGGTCGGTACAGCCACCAGTGTTTGTCTGAGGTCATTGTATTGGTAGACAAACAGTGAAGGGTCTATACCTTTTGGGGCATGCCCAGGTGGGTGGCAGGGAACCTACTGGCATGGAACTTCTTTAACTTGCCTGTGCCTCTTCTCCTCAGCCAGTCCGAAACAAATGAATTATTGGTTTAAGATGGTTTAAGTGTCAGTTGACAGGGCCCGTTCTTTGAAAATCTTTGAAAGAAGACCCCACTCCAGCTCTGTGTCATTTCACCTCCCCTCCTTCTCATCTACGTCAGATACGACTGCCAGGAACTTTGGTTGTAGTCAAAACCGGCCATGAAAACGAGCACTCGGTCACTCCTCTGATTTTGAAGTCCTTCGGTCTGGATCTTTTTTCCCCCCTGCCCAGTAAAAGCACATCTGGAGCCTGCAGGTCCAGAACAGGCAACTGGAAGGCCGGCGCCAGCATAGCATCGCGTCGGATGCCCTTGTCCCATGGGAAGTTGCAGTCGCACGTTTGGTAGTCACTGCTTGGTCTTCTTTGCTGCTTTGAATCAGCAAAACCATTGTCTATTTAATGAAGAAAGCTGGTTTTCCAGGTATAGTCATCATGTAGAAAAATGACCGATCATTGGTTCAATCAGCAGTACTTTGATACACCTCAAACGGACCACACTGCTTATGACGTGGCAACATTGCAGCTTGTTAAGATTTGTCAAGATGAGTGGTATTTGCCGCCAACACTACTTTTTGCGAGTTGAGCAAATTAGGCCAGTAAGAAAGCTGATATTGAGGATGCTCATTTGGGCAATGTCTCTGTTTGCACAGTCTTCAGTTTATATATGTTCATATCTTCCAAGAAGCCAATGGCTGCTAATAGCAAGGAGCAAATCCCGCAAAATCAACGGGACTGCCGAGAATGCCATGTGCGTGGACAAAGTGCTATAGGCTATAAAGCTACCATCCTTTGACATCTTTTAACAATCTTCAACTCATACCTCTTGCATGTCTTGCATTCGGCCTGAAAACCAGGGTTCCCCAGCACACGAAAATCACCGCACATGTGTCTTGGTAAAGGTCCCTGTTGGACAGCACCCCACCAAATGGCCCAGTCCATCAAATCCTGAACCTTTCGTGGTAGTGCAGTGCTTCGATTGCTTTGGACTTGGTCAGACTGGACCAATTTGCATACTGTGCGGCTATCTGGCCTTCCTGTACCTTTGGTTCCAACTTGATGTGAAGCTCCCCGCGCCCATCTTGACGCTGCGCCAGTGTGAAGGGTTGCCAAGAGGGAACTCCACGCACCTGCAATCGGACGTGTCCTGACTGATCCTGACCTTGAGAGGAACCGAGTTCAAGGCAAAGGACTGACACTGAATCCCGAGTGTCCCCTTCTTGGTGAAGTGTTCAAAACGACAATGCTCTTCATGGAACTGGGCTCGCTGCAAACCTGTGGCAGGGCTGAGGTGGCATTTGCAAACATGACGTGGTGACAGATGAAACTGGACATGTCCATCATCTCATCCTAGACTGCTGCTTTGTGTTCATAATTGTGGCAAAACAATGTTTGAAAGAAAGACCCAGCATGTGCTGAAAAATAACCTAGACAACGGTTGGCCCGAAAGCATTAGCATGGCAAAGATGTGGCAAGAAACCTTGGATTCCTGGCTCTCGCTGTGGCTCTGCCGAAGCTGGACGACCAATTGCCGGCGCGCTACATAGCGAGGAAACCGATGTGTTTTCGCAAATCGGTGTGTTTTCGCATCGCGGTGGAGGGGTGTCAAAGCATCGCACCCCTCTTTGCAGGAAGGTGTCACCTTGCATTTTTGGAAGCCTAGAGCGCAGCCTGCGCTCACCCAAACATGTTTAACGTTGGTCTCCTGGACATGTTTGACGCTGCGTACTTATGGGAATTGGTGTCCAGAGACGTTCCATCGGTTGGTTCATCCACGCCACATCTGTTCGTGACGCGTCGACAATCTTTGAAAAGCCTTGCATGTTTGCGGTGCAACAAACTGCCTGTCAAAAGTTGTCAATCACACAGATCAAACACGCAACCCTGTTGCCACGATGTGAAACGGCGTCACCGCAAAACACTCCTATAAGCCAAGGGAAATGGATCTGACTTGGTTTGTAGCACTTGAACAAATCAAATTCATGCAGTTTCTACCTCAGGTGTCTTTTCTGTAGCATCTTAATTGTTGACTTTGTTGAGACCCTGGATAAAATTGCAGCCTGGACCGATGGGAACTTCAAGGTTGCGAACGCCTCACAAACAATTTATCGGATGAGTCTCATTACTGCTCACAAGAAGCCATTCCCATGTATCACGTCCCTGTCTCAACCCTGAAAGGAAACAACACTTCGATAAGCGTACAATAAATGGTCCCTTCAAATGGCTGTTTCTTTATGTTTCTTTTCAAATAGCCGTCAGGATCCCAAAGATGTCCGACAGGTCGGCTGCTCTCTCACTTCTTGGTGCATACCTGCAGCTAAGGACTCGAAGCGCTCATATTGCCTGTGGATCAGTTAAACCTGCTTGGATTCAAGGATCGTGATACTTGTTTGATGACAGTCATAGCATGGAAAAGCTCCACCTAAGTTTTCAGGGGGTTGTAACACAAAACATGTTGAAATCTAAGGAACTCCACAAGTTAGCTCTGTCCCAGCCTGATCTTACCATGATCTGTGAAACATTTCGGCTATGTATGAAATGGCAATGGAATGACCTCAAACCTTGGCTGCTGAAAAACACCAGTTGAAGTCAACGTAGTTGGCTCGGTGCTGGCTCCAGAAAGCAGTTGCCAAACACTTGGACGTCGCGGCTGCAGCTGTTTCTTCTCTGCCGCTTCAAATGTTGTCAAATCAACCCGTTGATGTGCCTGCAACCCCCGTGGCATGCCATTGCCATACCTGAAGCCAAAAAACAACCAAATTGGCCCACGGGCCTGGAGATGCACGGGGTATTTCTTCATAATTGTGTGAAGATGTCTTTTACGTCTTGAACCACTGGAAATGACGGAAGTTGCAGGCGAATGAGTTGAAAGGATATCAGTCACTGAACCTGGAGCGTGGCTCGGTTCAACCAATCTGCAACTCTCTGACGAAACGTTTGTCCATCAGGAGCAGCTATGAGCAGCTGCCACGAGCTCGGCGATCACTCCAAGTTGCCCTCCTCCATCAACGCCACCTGGGAGCGACTGGAGGCTTTGGTGCGGAAGAGGACCAAAGCAGATCCAATGACGGTAGCACCAAGGGCTCCCAGCAAAGCTGAGGGAAGATGAAATTTGGAGCCGGCAACTTCTGGCTTCTCGAGAAACAACCTGGTGGCTGCTGCCACATGGGCCTGGGCTTGGCAAGTTGGTTTCATTGAAGTGTACATCGCAGCGGAGGTGGCTGTAGCATCCAGGCTGGTGATGGATTTTTGGACTTGGTCCAAGTAGTGCTGGTAGGCGGGGTCATTCGGCTGGGCCATCACCATTTGAGCCTCGACCTTGGTGACTGTCTCCCTGGCGTCAGCGGAGGCTTTGGACACTTGAGCCTCGACCTCACTCAAAGAGAGCACGTCCTTGCACATCTTTGTCATGTTGGCCTTAAACTGCTTCTGAATTGCAGCCTTTTGCTCCTCATCGGCAGCCGCCATCATTTGGCTGCCAAACGTCGGGATATAGGAGGACAGGGGCAGGATGGCATTCTTCCAAGACTCCACCTTGTCCTGCAACGACTCTGCGGAAGATTGGACAGAATCCGCCATCTTATCCAACTGGTCCGGGGTGAACTCCGCCACCGCGGTGAACAACAAGGTTGCCAAGATGCGCCACATGATGCCCTGGAGCACAGATCGCAAGTGCACAGCTGTGTGCAAAATCATGTTTCTGCAAGTCAACAGATGCCCATCTCCCGTAACGGATGATCATGCTGCTCGGGTGTCAAAAAACAACACTGCACATTGGTATGTTTGTAAAACATGTAAAATACTCACACCCCCTGATGAGGAACTACTCCGTTGATGTTCCCCCCTTGGACCCCGGTTTTTGAGGCTGCCACTGGTTGATTTCGATGGCCTCCTTCTGCGCTTCACCCGAGACCTGGGGCGCTATCTCAAAGTCGGTCATGCGATGTCATGCGGATACTTTAAAGAACAAACACTGGATGCTTCCTCATTTGGAGGTTCATCCAAAGTTCACCCAGTCAATTCCAGCAAAACAATCTAGCACTCATATAGAAGAGTCATGGAATAGTGACATGTTATTGAGCCATGATTCAGCATGTATCATAAAGCAGTGATAATGGTATGGCATAGAGTCACTCGCAATGTCATTATATGGCAGTCCAGCTGCCAAAGTTGGGGGTCAACCGAGCCGCCTATCAGTAAATCAAAATTTCTCTCACCTTATCTGCTAGACTGCAGGGTGGCGCCCTCCCTCTAACTGTACCCGGCAGAACTGAATGAACTGACAATAATTACTGCAAGATACTGCAAGTGTAGCTGAGTAGGAACCGGCAAACCATCTCCCTTGGATTGAACGGCCATTTCACTCACCTTCTGTCATCCCAATGAGGTGTCCTGGGAAGCCCCAAATCTGACTTTTTCAGCCTTTCAGAGCCCAAGTCACACAACAGGATCCTGTCACGGTCGAAATCTTGCCCAATGCAGGCCGAGCAATCAACCCTCCATAGTTGGATGTTCACATGCCTTCACCAACTATTTAATTTAAGGTAAAATCAAGCATGGTTCATCCATATGAGTCACTGAAGAATGACATCGTCCCCTAAAAAAGGTGGTGTAACATAATGCCGGATCGACCTGGCAGATCATGACAGCCAAAAACTGGTTTGCAAAGATTCCCCTATCATACCGTTGAGGTTTCACAGGGCCGGAAACTGATACTATCCAAGCCACCCAGCTAAAAATCCCTGGGCCGGGCAGTCTTGCCACTCAACTTCTGCTCTGCCTCTTTTTGTTGACACCCACAACGCGAATGATGAGAATCAGGTGCGATCTGGAGCCTCAGCTGAAGTTGGCGATGGTACCTGCATATTCCCCAGCCCCTGGCCCATTGAGTTTATCGTTATATTTCCATACAGAAAAGAATCCTACATACTACATATCCTACATCATATATATATATATATCAAAAAACACTATCAACCACCCAAACTCGTCATCAATCCACGTGTTAATCATGCCACTCTGCAAACACATAATTTCCAAATGTCGTGCAGGTGTAGCCCATGCTGATTCTGGGTGCCCCCAACTCTCGCTGATTAATATTTTAATGGCAAAGGAGGACAAATGTCATGATTACACAAACATTATGGGATTTATTCATAATGAATGACCATCATGAATTGTCAACAATCAATACCGAGCACGTTTTTGAAGTAGTCATAATTGTATTTATATTTATTGTTGTATGGTAAATAGTGCAAACAGTCCTTATGAAGCAGCCATTACAATGCGAGAAGCACTCCACCAGTTGCAAAACACCATGCAATGAACGCAGCAAACAATCACAAGATCACCCTTGAAGCAGCCATTACAATGCGAGTTGCAACCTTCCAGTGGCAAAACACAATGGCACGAGCACACAGACATGCAAGAAATGCAACTCCCAAAACCGGATCTCGGCGCCCAAGCCAAAAAATTACGATTTTGCAACGATGTTTAAAAGGATTTTAATAAGGACAATTCATCTGCTAAATGTCCGATAGTTTAACGAAAACAAAGCCTTGCTGCAACAGCTTTATTCCGGGAAGGGATCCACCAACTGCAAAACACAATGTAACTACCGCAGCCAAGCGTCGCAAAACCACCCTTGAAGTAGCCATTACAATGTAAGGAGCACCTTGGGATAAGTTGGTTAGCAAACAAAGCAGTCCTCGATGATGACCTATGTCGGATGAAGTTGGTAACCAATGTCCGAGTTGTATTTGACTTTTTTTGGAGGGCCATATTAGACTTCAGGACTGTAACCGCATGGCAAAGGTGGCTGCTTGATTCCACATTTCATCAGCCTGAAAAGGTCGGTAGTTTCGTGCAAGCAAAAATAGTTTTGGACCTACCGGGCCATCTGCCCTTGAGGATCTCATCGAAAAGGAGAATCAGTCCAAGAAGGCATCCGTGAAACCGAGCAGCGGCGATACCAGGTCAGAAACTTCTGCATGACGCAGAAGAATGAAAGAGCGATGATCACTTGGTGCGCCCGGAATAGGTAGCTGCTGTGCACTTGTTCCAGATTCAAAGCTTCCAGGCCTCTTCATGCTAAGTTCGGCACCCAACCCATCCTGCAGAGATGGATCGCTAGTGGAAAGGGCACGACTTGAGTCAATATCTTTCCAAAGCAACTTGCAGTACTCCCTAAGAATCGTCTTTTGGTCCAAACGGCTGATTGGCCGGAAGCTTCATACATAATACATACAATGTTCATGAGCTGAAGATGATGTTTGGATGAAATAAATAGTCATCCGGCCTTCATCTGACCTCATGTTTTCAGCTTCAGATCCAGGCGATTCGGTCGCTCCTTCCTTTTAGATCCTCACAATCATGCGAGTGAGCCGGTCGCTTCTGCTTGGAGCGTCTTGGAGTATCCTAACCTGGTCCACCATTCGCAGGTGTGCGTTGCTCGTGGAGACAAACCCACGAACAACGAGTCTTTGGTGCGGACTCTTGTTCGTTCGCAGGTCATAATTCCATCATCCCATTCCGAAGACACCCCATCCAAGCACTTTCAACCTGCCTTTCAATCAACAGGGTGAGACTGGTGACACGAGCAAACGGCACACGGCCGTTTTCGGACCGTCTCTTTCGGTCAGCCACGAAGCATCCGTCTCTTCGGCGTTGCTTCAGGCTCTTCAGATTCACTTCAAATGCATGACCAACAACGTGGTGTCCGGATTGCACCTGCAAGCCCGGCAGTCAAGTGGCTGACAGGGAGCCATGGCAGTAGATTACTATGCAGGTGACAGTCCATCCATGTCTTCCTGTTTACTTCCACTTCATCATTTGGAATCAGCTGAGGAGCTTAGCAAAAACATATTCCTGGTGAACTTGTGGACTTCCGTGTGTGGACTTTCAGGTTCCACCCGCAAAACACAGGAACAACCACTTGAGGACGGTGCAAAAGGACGCACGGCAGCCAGCCGACGTTCCCAGCAATGGCCCTGCGGAACTTGGGCCTCGCTGCACGAGTCGAGGGTGAAGTGAACTGCATGAGTTTTGGGGATACAGTACCAAAAATGGATTGAATATAATATCTCAGATCTATATATATATATACTGTATACTGTATATATATATATAAAGCTAACAGAAATGGCATCCACCCTAGAAGCGATGGCGTGGACTTCAAATGTTCCGACCCCCTGGGTTCGCGAAACGGGAAATAGACTAGTCTACCCGCTGGTTTTTCGTGTCTCCCTATGGCCACGGATGGGGGACCAATTCATCTGGGGAAGGCTGGATGGCGAGGATAGTCACAATGAAGAAAGAACTCACATGAAACAAGAAACCAACTTGCTCTATGTAATCTGTTCCACACCATCAACGATGGGTCTGTCTTAAAATAGGAGGATCCCCAGGCTTGGCACAAGCTTTCCGTGGGCCAACCATACAACGCACACCTACATAATCAAGGATGTTCATGATTAACCACTTGGTGTTTACAGTTTACAGCTTGATATTATATACATATATATATATATGTAACTACTGTAATGTTACGGACAATATATATATATATATTATATATTATGTCTTTTGATACTCTAGAAGTGTCCATGTCATGTACAGGTTTTTTGGTGCCAACGAAGGCCTTTGTCCCGTCTCAGCCCTTGCAAAAAAAACTCATGGGGTCAGCCTGACCAACGCAACCAGCGCAAGCGAACGACTTCCAACTACTGGAGTTGCGCTAAAAACCCGACCCGCCAACTGTTACTGTTACTGTTGACTCTTTAAAAAAGAGAAGCCAACCGGAGATGTGGTTTACAAAGATGGCATGGTCAACCATACAAGTTGGGTGAAAAAATCATGGATTGCCACTGGATCCATTTCTCCCAAAAATCGCCACAGCTAAGCTGACCACGTGTACTGATGCAGCTGCCCTGCGAAGTCCAACGACCCATTCGATGTCGCGACCGTTTCTGGGGTTCTTCCGCCGTTCGACCTCCGCCTTTGCTTCAATCCGATGAAAAGGCAAACGAATCCAGCGAACCAACCCCAAACAACAAACAAACATGCTCTTCTCCTCTTCTCTTTGCTAAGCGAGTGAGAGAGTCAAGAGCGTCCAAAGCTTGGTCCCCTCCAAAACCCCCGGTCATAGCGGTGAATTGTGTGTGTGTTTTTTTTGTTCAGGAAAGCTTCTGGGGATGGGGGCACCAGGCGCCAAAAACGCAGAAGACTACGCAGAAGATGCATTGACTCCTCGGATCTTCTCAGTCATCAGTGCCCCCAATGGAATCTCGAACATTCCTGAGCACTGATGACTGAAATTCCCAATCTGGTGGGTATCTACCAATTCAAACACCTATAACCTCAGACACCTTCACCCAGGATGGTGCTGGTTCGATGTCCAAAGGCCAAGGGAAAACGCGCGTTTTCTTCGACCCCCTTCCCCTCCAACGGTGAAAGCTCTGAACAACACCAGCTGTAGGCCTCTCTCGTCGGACACCATGAAGCACACATGCCCCTGTAGCTCTCCCTCCTCGTTCACGGCCTAACGAAAAGGCGCAAGAGGGGCGTCTTCATATTCTTCATTCACCGCACCAAACTCAGGCAAGCGACTCGAACTGGGCGGATCAATCCCAACATTCAACGATGTGTCACAACGCTCCTCTCCACAGACCGGGTTCTTGTTTCTCACGTGCCCCGACCAAAACAAACATGTCACGTCCAGAGAATTTGTGACCTTGCACTGAACACCAAGCTATGTTTCTTGCAGGATCTTGCAGGTATTTCTGTGAAGTGTCATGAACATACCTGCTCAGGTATGATTTTGTCAAAACCAATAAGAATAACGCCCCAGCAACTGAATGCCACTTGCACCCTTTTGGCCCTTGCCACCTTTAGGTCAATAGCCCCCCACCCTCTCACCATCCTCCCCAGCATCCCCTGGAGCAAACGGCCTCTGTGTAGTTCAGTTGCAGCCGGCAGCCTTGGTGCCCCTTCGGCAGCTCTGGCATCAGCCGTTGGCCAAAGCCCTGGACATAAGGCCCTGCGGCAGATGTTCTACAACTCACTGCACGAGACATCAAGCATCTCAGTGGCAGAACTGGTGGCAGCGATGAACTTCAGACTGCATGAGACTAAGTCCTGCGGGAAGAATATGACCACAGGTTCCAAACCTCCTGATATATATATATATATTAGTATAAATGAAAAATCTGCAAAATAAAACCAATCCAATCTCATAACCATTTCAAAACCTTTGAAAACCCAGGATCTGTTTGAGGCTGTGCCTCAAACTCTCGCAACCGTGTCAGACCAGGAGATACCACTCCTCCAGGTGCTCCCAGAGCGCCCAGGCGTCCATCAGAGGCTGATCCGCCTCGGGTGTAACCGCGCGGGACAGACTCCGCTGGTGGGTCCGGGTGTTTTAATTCGGATTCCGCGTCTTTTGAAGTGTCTCTAAAGAATCAAAGAACACTGCGATAGATCCGATATACTGCGGGCTTTGGCAAAAGCATCAAAAGATGTGATTCTACACTAAAAGGACTCACTCTGCTGCCGTCCCAGCAATGTACATCTCTGGACTCGTGTTGATTTTTAAACATCGAATATAAGTGATGTGGATGCTGTTGATGCGCGATGTCCCTTGCAATGGCAACTGATCAATGCGTTTTTTCTTTCCCAGCCCCCGTTCCGATTGCCCAAGCGCTGCCAAGCCACCCAAGCACATGAAGATGCCCCCACAGCTACTGAAGAAATTCGCCTGTGTCAGCACTTACAAGTCTTGTCGGTTTCTGTGGCCAGACCATCAACCGCTCATTCAAAGAAGCCGAACCTTCAAAAAACAGAACCTGTCAATACCCCTCAATCAAAGGAAAAACCATCGAAGAGACATGTCCCAAGTTGCGACATTCGTTGCGGTGGCACGTAAGTAAGAGAGGCAGTCACGGTCAAAATGCTTACGTTTCACCACATCTATCTTCTCCATATATCCTACACTTCACTAAGTCACAAACCGCCGCTCCAGTCCATCACAGGATGCCATCAGACATCATCACGTGACCCTTCATCACCCAAGAAGTCATCACCACGCAAAACCACGCCTCTGTTTTTTCGTTTGTGGAATACCTGGAGAAGTGACCTTTGGGTCTTGGGTCAATCGATGTCTATCGTTCCAGGTCGCGTGGTCTCGTCTCGAAGTCCGCGCTCCGCGGCGCTGGTTCGCCGGAGACGAGACGGAGCTCGCTCCGCTCCTGGCTGAGGTCGACGTCCGGTGGAGCGATGCCGATGATGATGGGATGTGCTTCAGGGCAGTCCTAAAGGTCGACCAGCCGACGGCGGGACCCCACGGGCGGGATTATAAACGGCGGGACCCGGTGTCTTCTTGGCTCGGAGGTAACAAGAGGACGCTACGAATCGCAGCGAACGGAGCGATCGGACGCTACGAACGTGGCTCCTGGCATTACTAGGAACAAACAGCTACTAGGTGGAGGCCATCGCTACTGATTCCAACAGCCATGGAAAACTGGAAGGGTGGAACATGGCTGGAAGACTCTTCCAGTCTGGTCTACAAACTGGGTCTGTCCCACTTGCCTGGAAGAAATTGAAATCAGCTTGGACCTATCACATTTAAAAGGGCCGGTTTTCCATGGTTTTCCTCCTCTTTCTCTCACCTTGCACCCTTTGCTGCAAACAAAGCAAGCAACTGACAAAAGTGCTTTGGCACCAGAATGCACTCAAGCTCATACTCTACGCGCTGACGCGCAGCCATTAAGATGCTATTGTTTGAACATCAACCCCATGATAATCAGTGTGGCTTACCCTACCGCGGATAAGTTCATTGGATCTATAAGGCCCAAACAGCTGTCTAGGTCGGCCCACGCGGCTGTCTGGGTCTGCGCAGAAGCGGTTGATATGTGCCTTAAAGAATCACTTTTTGGGGACCAAAGGATGTATCCAGCGAGTTTAATTTGTCTTGGGTCCAAAATTTCAGTGAACAATTGAATACTGCCTAAGGCCTAGTGGGAGTGCAATGTCTGACACCGTTTGATAAACTCGCTGGTTGGTATTCTGTCTGTGTACACATGTTGCCGGCGTCTGTAGGATTTTTCTGAGGCCCCTCAAGTGAAATGCATTCAGCTTCTCGCGTAAGAACCATTGAGATGTACTGCTTCCAAGCTGTACAGTAGTTTACTTCTGAGGAAATGGTAGAGTTTTTGAACTT